TAGATAGATAGATAGATAGATAGATAGATAGATAGATAGATAGATAGATAGATAGATAGATATTTAGATAGATAGATAGATAGATACTACACACACATATATATGAAAACAAAATGCACTGATTTATTCATAATAACAGAATTAAGCAATTTGTTCTGGAGGCTGAAAATATTTCTACTTAAAACGCCAATAAGCTATAAGGTCTCTTTGCAGGAAGAATGCCTTTCAGAGGGAAACTTCCATTTCCAAGGAAGATACATTTTTCCTCCCTCCAATGCCTTCCCATTTCTCTTATGATGTTCCCTGTCAAATTGGAGGTAATAGAATAGAATAACAGAGTTGGAAGGGACTTTGAAGGTCTTCTAGCTCAACCCCTGGTTTAGGCAGGAAACCCTATGCCATTACAGTTGGAGCATTTACAACTTCTGGAGGCAATGATGGAACAAGCACAGGATTTCTTCCCAACCAACATTGTAGCTCCTGCCTCCTGAGCCCAATGATAGTTCCAAAGAGGATTTTCTCAATTCTCAGCTCATGAACAGCCTGCCTCATGAGAGGATTGGTACTGCCCATCTTGAAGGATGCAGTGGTGCACCTTCTCCTTACCTGAAAAATAAACAACCTGTCTGCAACCTTCTCTTCTTGAAAGCAGATTGTTGAGAGATTGGTAGAGATATTGTTACATAGAACCATGAAGAAAAAGGATTATCTGGACCATTTTCAGTCTGGCTTTAAGCCTGGGTATGGGACTGAAAACACACTGGTTGTGTTTGAGCATAAACTTCTGGGAAGGCTAAGAGCAGTGTGACTGTTCTGCTATAGTTTGAACTCCGAGTAGCTTTCAGTGCCATTTATCTCTACTTAAAGCATCTAATTTACTTCTGGGTGCAATTCAAGGTATTGGTTGGAACTAAGGGCAAGTCAGCTACTGGAAGTGGTATGGTGTGAATGGACTGAATTTACTTGTGCCACAGAATATGAGTGAGATTGGAGAGTTTGAAAATCCTTTTGCAAACGTATTGATCCTTCATGTACACAAAGTTTGAAGAGCATGAGGGCCTTTAAAAAAAGTTTCTCAATATAATATTTTTTGTATCTTGTTTGGAATTAAAGCAATGATGGTAGACTGAATCCTTAGTTTAAGGTACTGCTAGATCCTTTTTTAAAAACTTTTTCTTATTTTTCTGCCCAGGAAGGCTATTATTGCAAACATTTAGATAAACAGCAGTGATCAGCACAACAGTGTCCAGTGTGCAGAGCAAACTAAAGTGATTCACACAGTTACTTTGTCCCTAAAAGATAAAGATGACCAAATCAAAACCATTCTATTAATCTCCTATATAAATTAACCAGTATCTTATGTCTGCTGGCAATAACTGCAATTGTATTCGGCAGAAATAATTTTTTGAAGTCAGACTTCTAAATAGTGAAAGGGAAAAAAAAAGTATTGTACCTTGTGCGTGCCTCCTCGTGTTTTTGTTCAATAATCTCTGAGAATGAGGGATCACACACTTTCTTCAAGTTATCAGCAGCAGTCTGGAGCCTAGCCCAGATTTCTTTGTTTCCCTCAGCTTTATCTTGAAGGGACTGTAGAAAGAAATGCCACTTAATTAGTTATAAATGTGATGATGCTTGAGGAGATGGTTATTGGTATGCTACCTTATGTCCATCCTTCCAAAACAGCGTATTTTCACCAAATTTAGCAGGATTTGAGTAGTGACAAGGTTGTCGTTGTTAAGCATGCTTTTCTGGATTGGCAAAAGATCAGAGGTGGGCTGCTGCAGGTTCGGATGGGTTTACCCGAAGCCCTTGTTTCGATTCTGCACGGTTCAGAGAACTGGCAAATAGGAACACTGGCTGGCCCCTCCCCTGCCTGTTTTCAGACTATTTTCAGATGTTTTTGGGCAAAAAACAGCTTGAAAATGGCCCCAAAACAGGCCGAAAAATGGGAGGGGGCGGGGCCAGCCAGTGATGGGATTGGGCCCCAACTAGCTGAATCCTACCTGTTCCTTTGAGGTGAGTGGTCAGGAGGCAGGGCTGCGTGTGATGAGTGACATCACCCACCTAGTCACATGACCAACCAGCCACGCCTATCCAGCCAGAGAACCAGTTGCTAAAACATTTACAGCCCACCATTACAAAAGGGGTGTGTGTGTAGGGGGAGATCTTCCAAACTCATTCTTCCTTTTAGGAAGCTTGGAAAATAGAAACATCTTCCCACTTCCTGATCCTTTTGGGCTTGGAAACATGCCGAGAAAACTCAGTAACTTTGTACAAAGAATATGTGCTACTCCCAAGTCCTGACACTAATGGAGTACAATTCTCATTACAGATTAACTCTCCAGAGCTTTCTACAGATAAACCTTAAAGGATGCTGATTCATGCTCCCTGTCATATTGCTCATTGCACATCATTTTCTCTTTTCAAGTGGGAGCAAATTGTTTTTATTTATTTCATCTGTAAAAATCATGATTTATGCTTTCTATCCCAAGCAGGATCAAGCATCAGGGTTTGTTCTTGATGTTCATTCTCTGGTTTTTAGGTCTTGCATAAATTAATCTGATACTACATTTCAAACTGGAGAAACACAGTATGTGGGAGGAACAGCATATGGGTCCAGGATATCTGTTATGATTCAATCATGCAACACCACCACATATTCATTTGGCATTAATATCTAGCGCAGCTCCTTATTTTTAAGAAGGAATATTGTGGAACCAAGGAGTTCAGCACATTGGACTTTGTGAAATATACCTGGAGATCTTCCACTTGCTTTTTCAGTGACTTCATTGTAATGAAAGGATTCTTGCTATGCTCCAGGCAATACGCAGCATTTGCAAGCATCAGCCTGATTTCATCCCAAGCTTCATCGTAAGTCTTCCAGCACTCTAAAGCAGACTCGGTAGAAGACTTAAGCTGTGCAACCTGCAAACATACAAGCCTGTGCTTAAAAGGATGTATATGAAATTACTTACTAGGACATTTGAAAACTGCTCAAGAGACACCCCCTGTTGATTTTCTATTACATCATTTTCTTTCTGATACATGCTGGATAAAAAACAACCCCTAAGTATTTATTTAATAATGTAAAATATAAATGATTTCAGGAGTACTAGCACATGCAAATGTGTTCAAAGAAAATGTGTTCAAAGGGAAAAAAAATCATCAATCTGTATAAGAGACTGCAGTATTAGAATAATTTTCATTATTAGTTTAATTTGAGGACAAAGTCTTGTTGTGCTTGTAGAGTTTATTCCAGTATGCTTGGTTAGATGAAGTCATACTGGAATAAAAGCACTGGTTTCACTCTCTTGAATGCTGACATCTCAGCAGGAAAACTCACAAATTCAGAAATGCCTGCAGAGTTTTCAACTGCAGAAGGAATAGACAAGTCAGCCGCAAGTTTTTGTTATATGAAAGCTGAAAATTGCTATTAAACAATTTTGGGTTTTTATTATTTCAGATTTGTTACAAACTACGTGCAGCTAAGCAGCATCTACAGAACTTTGGTAGTTATTGTACCGAGCATCATGAATCAATGGCTGAATTGGGAGATAAAATCTGGGTTTCATATTTCACTTTTGCCAGGATAGCCCACATGCAGAAAAACATTAATATTTAAGGTGTCAAATTGGAAAGGTAAAATATGATATTCTGAGCATCTAGTGCCAATCAGAATAGACAATATTTGACTAGATGTGCAAATAGTCTCATTTTATAATGATTTCACATTTCATAATGTGCTAGACAAAATCTGCCAACTTTTGACTTTTCCAATTATAGAAGGTCAATAGTGGACTGAGATCTCAATAAAGGCTGACTTTTAGGATGTGTCAAAACTTATAAATTTAGCCATCTGTCAAAAATATCCAACAGCCCATATAGGTTTTGTTATTTACTTATTGGCCTATGATTCTGAAAGTTTTAAAAATCAGATATGGTATATAGAAGGTGAGCATAGAGCTTATTCCTTCAGTTTTCTAGTTCTGCTAGAATCTCAGGTCATCCAATGAATAGGAGGCTCAAGTCTTTTTTCAGACAATCCATAATAATCTTGTGGAATTCACTATTATGGAGATAACCATCAATTAAGAAATGCCAAAACAATCAGGCATATTATGGAAAGTAAATAATCAGTAGCAGTATTCATAATGATGAGATATCATTAACTTCACTATTAGATCGTACTGGTTGGTCTTTGATCACAATAAAAATAATTGATTTTATTTTTCAGTATTAGAGAAAATATATTTAAGTCCCAGTTTCTAAATGGCAGATGGAGCTTCCTTGGCTCTCATGTATTGTTGGTTGATTTCTGCCTGACCACTAAAGTCATCTAAATTGACTTCTTGATTAATTTAAATTTGTGAGATCTAGTAGGATGGCACATATATTTCACAGAAAATATCATAGTTTTAATTTCTAACAAGATTATCCTCTCAATTCTGGACATGTGAATGGGTAGGAAAACTGCTTTTAATTATTAACAAAGGAAATTTTCTGTTCAGACCCACTATAACAGCATCTACAATCATCTATGAACATTTATACATTAACTTTCTCTTAAACAGAAGTTTGTTTAAGTAGATGAGAGCATTTCAAATATAAGTGGAAGTGGTAAAATTAAGATTAGACAATACTTTTGAATCCAAATGATTGCAGACAGAACTATTCATACAGAAGCCTGAAGTGCACATGAAAAGCTGAGAGTCTTCAGACCATTGTACTTATTATCTGTTTTTTCTTTTCTTTATACATATTTTCAGAATATAGATATCTCATGTTGCCTTCAAAGACCCTATCTTTGTATAGAATGGTTTCAAATCCTAGCGTGGAAAGAAACCACTGGGTGACATTTAACAAGTCACTAATTCTTATACATAGCCAAAAATAAAGATATCAACCTGATTGATAATGCTACTTCTCATTTCAGCCAAATTGGCGAACTCTATTTTCTTGGCAGCATCAGCACAATCCTTTAAAGCTGTGAGATTGTTTTTCAGTTGATCCACTTCCTTAGACTTCACAGCAAGCTGATTTTCTAACACCTGATAAGTAGACATAAGAGGAAAGCCATTATTCTTTGAGTACAATTTGGGGGGGGGGGAATCAACATTAGAACATGGGACATGATTAAGATCAATGCCAAGTAACATGTTAAATTAAATGGAACAGAACTTTTTGTTAAAACTTAAGAACAATATAAGCATAGCCTAATTTAGGGGAGGAGAGGGGGGAAGAGGGAGAGAGGTATGGAGATATACAGTATAGATGCTTACATGTATGTATGTATGTATGTATGTATGTATGTATGTAAGTATCCAATCCACCCTTAAAACTGTGTAATATACAGGTTCGATACCATGTAACCCTACAGGTTAATAATGCATTATTACATCAATATATGCTCTCTTTTGCCCGTTCTAAATCTTTTCCAATCTGTTTCAGTGGATAGCTCCTGGTCTCATTGCTTTGAGAAAAAGACAAGTTTTGTTCACTTATCCATTTTCTCTAGGCTTTGTACACCTTGATCCTATACTCTCTGTCTCAGCTCCTTTTTCTCTAAACTGAAGAGTTTCAGACAGTCTTTTGTCATAAGGAAGGCCATCAATAATTTTGGTTATCCTTTTCTGTACTTTCCCCCCCAATTATGTTATATCCTTTCCACATGTGTACACAGTGTTCCAGATGGAGACAGACCGTGGATTTGTATAAAAGAATGTCAGGATTACCAATTTTATTTTCAATCTTTTCCTAATGATCCCTAACATGGAACCTGCCTTTTCCACACTGAACACTGATTGTAAAATCTTATTGATCTTTGACGCCAATATTTTTCCAGATTAGATATAGGCAGCTCAGCATATATGAAATCCAGGGGAAGGAGAAGTTTAGCTGCAAAGTGCAACTTAACTGCTACTTAGGTGACTATTAATTCAGTACAATGAGCTCCCTATACATATTACTCTTGGTTTTTATTCCAAATATTTTATTATTATATTCAAACTTGCATGAAGTAATTTATGAGCAAACAAAAAAAAAATCACTGGTGTCATTACAGATCTTTAAGGCAGAATTCCTCTATCTCCAGGCCATGGCCCAGTACTAGGCTATGACCCATTAGGAACTGGGCTGTGAAAGCGGGGGGGGGGGCACACGTGTGCCACCACTCACACAGAACCATTCTCTCTCCCCCTCCCCCATGCCCGCCCGGTCTGCGAAGCTGGAAATGTTGGGGAAAGTTACCTTAAGGGAATTATGACAGTTAAGTACTTCGATTGTCAGAATTGCCTATCAATTTTTACATTTTGAATTCTGTTAATAATTCATAAAAGGACAGGCAACCATGCCAGTAAACTTCTTAGCAGCCTTTGATGAGGAACTTTGTTAAAGGTTTTTTGAAAATTGAAATATACAAAGCCAACAGGTTCACCTTCATCTAGATGCCTGTTAGCGTTTTAAAACACTCTAAGAGAGCTGAGACATGATTTACCTTTAACTATTTATTAAAGGTATATTCTGCCCAGCTCACCATCAAGTAACTCTTTATAGAATCTATGTTGATTCTCCTTCAGCAAGACTTGTTCTGCTACATATTTAGGGTTTTTTTTCCTGTGACTACCATTTCTACCAATTTTTCAGGAATAGACATTATGTTGGTCTATAATTGACAGGAATTCACAAGTCTTTTTTAAAAATAGATATCACTTTAGCTATCTTTCAGTCCTCTGTCACTGAGACTGATTTGAGAGACAAGTTGCATATTTTGGCTAGATCAGTAATTTTACATTTGAATTCTTTTAAATTCTCAGGTGGATGTCATGAGGACCTGGGGAGTTTTACTGTGTAGTCTCTCAATATGTTCTAGAAATTTTCTCTTGTCACATCTGTTTGCTTTTATTATTTTGTTTCACACCCTGAGAAAGTCAATTTGGGTGAAGCAATAGCAATAACACCTTGACTTATATACTGCTTCACAGTGCTTTACAGCCCACTCGAAGTGATTTACAGAGTCAGCATATTGCCCCCAACAATCACGTCCTCATTTTAAACACCTCAGAAGGATGGAAGACTGAGTCAACCTTGAGCTTGGTGAGATTTGAATTGCCAAATTACAAGCAGTCGGCTGTCAGCAGAAGTAGCCCACAGTACTGCATTCTAATCACTGTTCTACCACGGCTCAATACATATTTATCTTAAATCCCCCACCCTTGGAAAAAAATGTCTATTTTAGCAAGTACTGGATCTCTCTTATGGGATTATACATAGTACACCCTCCAATTTTTGCACAGAATAACAAACCTGTGTAATGGAAAAGTCAAGGTGGTGTACATAAGGCTCCTCCCTTCTATAGTGTAAAACCTAATCTGCCACACCACACTGCCTTTCTATGATTTGAAGATGAGTACTTTAAATTCCAATCAACTATCTTTACCATTATGATTTTGATAATTGCTGTCTGAAAGAGTTGCTTACTCCTGAACCAGGTCCGGTCACTCTTTCTTAACCTAACTGGTAATACAGGAGTAGTGATGAAGGTAAAACAGGTGAAAATACAGATACTGCCTTTTTCTATTTGCATAAAAGATGGACTATACACGTAAGAAGGAAAGATAACAATAATCAGGCAAGAACAGCCAAGCATCTGCAATGTTTAGATACCTTCTGAGTTCATCTGGCATTAAGCTACGTGCATAATTTTATTAGCAAAGAATAATATTCGAAGTATGTTGGCATGATACTTGTCCTCCTAATCAGAAACAGCAGTATCTTTTATATAAAGTAAGTACAACATCCAAATTAAGTAATTTACATAGGCCATGATCTTACTTTTTTAATATAAGCTGTGATATATACTGTATGCTAAGATTGGAGGTGGGGAAATATCTCTTGTTCATTTTTAAAGTTTTCTTTTAAAATCCTGAAAAATATTTCCTGGTTTTATTTAACTTCTTGGTTTCCCTTCTTCTATCCCCTGGTGTGTGTACCTGCTCACTAAGAGAGTTTCAATCTGTCTCTTATTTATTTACAAAGCTTCTTACTGGCTAGTTGGAATGAATCTCCATCTCTCAGCTAGAAAAATGAAGTTGCTCCAGAGCTCAATAAAACATTGCAGAGAATAAATAGCCAAATTACTGTTACTTTCAGTTTGACTATAGTAGAGGAATGGGGTAACCATAGCAATAAAGCAAAAAATAAACGCTGCACCTTGTATGAGGAAGGAGTCAAGAAAGACACAACAAATATGATTTGCCACTATTATTTTGAGAATAACAAAATCTTCCTCAACATGGAATCCTCTAGATGCATTAGGGTCAAAGGAATTTTGCCCCAAGTTCTGCTATGAGAAAGTGTCAGTGGTTTCGTCAATAAGCCAGTGACTATTCAGCACTGTTCAGAGAAAGTCAATGTAATGTACTAGTTAAGCTATTGGGCTAGGTAGGACGATGTGACAGCCACCAACCTAAGTGAGGATAAAACAAATTCATTAGGGGTATGGCTATCAGTAGTTACTATTCTTGAAGATTCTAGAATACATCCAGTACTTGCAATAGTCCTGAAAAAATTGGGAATTTTGCATATGCTTCTGATTGGCCAGAGTGTCAAACACAAAACTGATCTTTGGTCTGATCCAGTAGGGCTCTTTTTATGTCCTTATATTCTCAGATGTAAGAGAAACAAAGTAATTCATTAGCAGCATACTGGTTTTTTCTACAAAAACTCTATGTAACTCCATTCAGCAGCTTAAAGAACATGTGGAACAAGATGATTCTATAGATCCCTCTGCCCTCCATTCCATCTGAGTCAAAAAAAAGACCCTAGTTAATTCTACTGGAAGCTGAGGAAAAAGATCTGTTTCCCACATATTTTCTCTGGCACATGCCATACAGGAGGGCATTTACAGCTACATCAGGGAGCAAAACAGGACAGAGCCTTTCAAAAGGCAGTTCTAGGATCAATTATTTTTTAGGTTTTTTTCTTCTTCTTCACCAAACTGTCTCCCTGAGAGATCATTCTATAGCTCCAACTGTACGAGCAAATATTCAAGTTTATTTCCCTCCTTTCTTTGTGTCCCATTGTGATCTGATTTTATTAGGTCAAATTTGAATGGATTGGATTTATTACTGATTGTGGACAATTACTGTGTTGTTTTTGAATTTCAAGGATAAATTCACATATATTGTCCTGAACATATAGGAAGAAAGATAGGATTAAAATGTTGGAGGTCATCAACAAAATGAACTTGACATTTCAAGTGTAATGAAATAATAATGGATATATTATTATTTATGTAAATAATGAACATTTACCTTGCAGTCTTTTAACGTGCCCTGTGCAAGAATAGAACTTGCTGGGCTCTTCAAGTGTTTTAGCCTTCTGCTTTGTGCTTCTAGCCAGCTGCCCAAAGACTGTGCTTTGTTTTCATTTTTAACAACAGATTCCAAAACGTGCTCCAACTCCTTTATCTGCATAGAGGACAATTTGTAATTATTTGCAAAATGTAGGAATGTTTTAAATTTTTTAGTTTATGGTAATAAGCACAGAAGAAAGAATATTTCCCCCCATTTTCTACAAAGTGCCTCATATTTTAATTTATTATGTTTCTGGACTCAGATATAACAGAAAAAAAAAGCTTCAGATCACCCCCAAATAGTAACTTTAATCTATTGTACTTAATTGGAAATGTAAAGAGAACATGGTTATGTTGTCATTGTATTATTCCTGTCCCAGCGACAGTGGGGCAACATAAACCAAAAGGGGTATAAGGCAGGCTTACTAAGGTCTGTGTGTCAGGGCTCTGGTAGTTACCCCCATTTAAATAATAAGTCATTAGCCAAATTTTCCAAACTTAAAGATTTATTAGGTGTAAACATGCCAGCATTGTCTGGGTGTAGCCAACTCTGAGACAATCATTCATTGTCACCATTGAGCATTGTTTCCCCCCATTTCCTGGATGTATCATAATTCATATTCTCCAGTGGGACACATCCATAGCCAAGAATCATCAACCATGTTCTCCAGTTAGAATTCTGTGCAGCAGAAACTTCGGTCACCTAGAAACTATCTTTGAAAACATTTATGGAATGCAAGTTGCCCACTGCTCCCCCCTCCCATTCTGTTGGCAACTCTAAAAACCATAGAAATATTTTATGAGTTGACACTGTGGATTAGAGAAAGTAGGTGAGAACTAAATTCATATTTGCTTTTGTTGCTGCTGGCTTTAGAGCTGCCTGGAGAATCCAGGAGAATGGGGAATGGGGTTGGAGTAGAAGACCTACAATGTCCCTTCCAACTCTGTTAATCTGTTATCTGTTATCCTTCTTCATTTCCTAATCCTTGATGCAGATCTGAACAGCATCAGACCTTGCAGATGGGACAGGAATGCCACCATGATAGGCTTCTGTCCAATAAGCAGCAGTGAATGTAGGCAAACTGGGTGGAGGAGACTTGCATGGACCTCTCTGCCTGATTTCTCCAACTGCAGCCTTTCCAGGCAGGACCCCACTGCCATTCTGAAGAGTTCTCTGCAGTACAGAGAACAAAGCAATGAAGCTGCAATGGATGGGTGATCTTCCACTAGGCGCATCTGAAGTTGACTCACATTCTCTGCAAAAGGTTCTAAAGGACATTCAAACCTTTTCATTCAGAGTCCCTTGCAAATGGTGCCAATTCATATTCAATTCCCCAAGACATTCTGCAAATGACGTCCTCTCGTAACGCTTGCTTTCAACATCACAAGGTGTCAACTGTAGTAGTGACTGGTTCACATAATCAACTATCCATTGTTTAAAGTTCATTTCCATCACATACTCCTAGAAATGTAAAATACAACTCTGTCAAAATAAGCATGTTTTCTATGCAGCAAATACAGTTTTGTTCCTTTATAACTGATTCTACTGCAAGTGAGAACAGGGTAGAAGCGCAGAGCTATAATAACTCATAATTGAATGGCCAAATCCTTTGCTCGTAGTTAAAGAGCATAATGATCATGGGCTCTTAAAAAGTGTAACTGCCTATAATGATCATTTCGGTGGGGGCGATGAAAGTTGTAGTACAATACATCTGTGAAGGCATCAAATTGGGAAGAGATTGTGAGTTCAGTTGAAAAAAACATCCTGGGAGAAGCAAAAGCAAATGTTTCCTATATTGCTGCCAATATATTGCTGGATGCAGCCTCCAGAGACAAGATTCCTATAAGGATTTTATAAGTATACTTAAGCTTGCCTTTTTTTCTCCAAATTCATTTTCCTCTTATGTGTGATTCATAAAAGAATGGTGCCATTTAAAGACACTGACAAATTATTGTGTAACAGTGTTAGCACTACCTTTCTAGCTTTATTTGCATGATAATATTAGTGGATTGAACACAGAAAATGTTTGGTCATATAGACAAAATGAAAGGCTGAAAGCCTTCTGTGAAAAAAATCTGACAACATTTTGACAGATGTATTGGCCTCTATCTCATCATAGATTAACTATATAATAGATCTCTAGAAGTGGAAAGAAAACTCTAGAAGAAAACATTGCATAGAGATTCCAGATATTTAGAAGTCTGATTTTTACCTACAGTATATATCAATCTATCTTGGGAATGAATAAATATTTGTCATACCAATATTAATATCTTATTTTCCCACAAACTCATACAGATAAATCTGTCAGACACCTGCTAATTGCTGTCTGAACACCCAGTGGCGTAGGATGATAGGTAGTGGGAAAATAAGATAAGTAGACAATATTAGGATGATGGATGATAGCAGACAGACAGATAGAAACCTAGCTCATAAAATTGACTCTACATAGCGACCAAATCAATGATGCAAGGATATGCACTCATTCCCTAAGGATATAGAGAACATTATTCTAGTTCCCTTTCTCTTGATCTCATTTGACTCAAACAGACAACATAGTATGATTCCTTATTTGAATTTATATTATTTGATTTTCTGCCCAAAAGATATGAAACCATTTCTAGACATCATGAACTTATAGTGTCTGGCTTACCTTGTACCTCCTAAGAAGTCCTTTCAAGCTGGCAGAACTTTGCAAATTAATTACAACCTCATCTCTTCTTTGCTGATCAATGCAATTCATCCAGGCATTCAGTTCTGTGATGGCTTCATAAGATGACAATTTTGCCATCTGGAGCTGTTAGAAAATTATACCATTATACTTATATTTTTATGGAACAAAATCTAATGTATTTTCTAAGATATTTAAAGATAAACACAGAATATTCAAGTGAGAAGTATTTTCCTATGAAATCTTTTTCATTTGTTATTTGGTAGACACATGACAAACTGTGCTATGCATTTTTGGTGGTTTTCTAAATGGACATTTTTTATAACTGTGGGAAAAGTAGGAAGTTCTAAAAGGCAATCAAAAGCTCCTTGGTTATAGATTCCAATAGCTGATGTCATCTTTCCTTGCTTTCCTGCATTTTTCTGTCCATAAACATGAGCAGACATCCCTTCTCATTTATTCTTGCACATCTGTTTATTTGATGTAGGTTAAAAAAAAATGAAAACAAAAATTTCAGTACAAGAGGGAAATTCCTTCCTTTCCAAAGTTTCCTTACACTTATTTTCTGCTTAATTTCACTAAAATCTTAGCAGAGAATCAAATATATATATTGACATAACCCTCAATTGTTTTCAGAATAAAGGTAAAGGTTTCCCTGACCAATTGTGTCTGATTCTAGGGGGAGATCCTCATCTTACCCTTTTCCATTTTCATGTGGCTAGCATGACTATACTACAAAGCATATGGAACACTGTTATCTTCCTACCAAAGTGGTACCTATTTATCTACTCACATCTGCATGTTTTGAACAGCTAGGTGAATAGGAGCTGGGGCAACTAATGGGAATCACTCACTTTTCTCTCACTTACTGCAACCTCTGCCTCTCTCTTTTGTCTTCCTGCTTGGTGTATTGTAGAAAAAGGACAGAATACTCTTGCAATGGGCTTCTAAACTATAGACTATATAGACTGTTGGTAAAGAAGCATCAAATTGCCCCTATTATTCTGTAGTGATATTAGAGCTAACAATAATCAGCCTTGTCTGCAGAAGAATATTTACAATTCAGAAATGCTCTAGATTTTTATCTCATTTTCAGTCATTTTTGACTGTGATGGAGACATTCCCCTTCAGATCAGTTCATTTTAATCTTAGCAAATTGTTCCTAATGTTCACAAGTTAAGAAAGGGGCACAAAGTTTACAACTGCACAGTGGCATCTGTAACAAGCTACAATGATGTCAAAACAATGTCTCCATCATCATATTATTATTCAAACAATGCATTTGTGTCATGAAGTCATCATGTCTGAAGCAATTAAATGTAAAAGGAATGTCATTCACATGAGCATATCATGATGCACATGTCATCATCTTACCTTCTTCTCCCACAACTATACAGGAATCATATGCTAAACTCTCTAAACTTTAACTGGGCAAAACAGTGCACTGTAGGGCAACAATTTTTAAAACAAGGGCCATGGACTAACTTACAGAATGTGTCTAAAACCCAGAACCTGTGACTCCCATGAAATTGAAATTGGGCAAATTTTGTAAAATATTTTATGACATAAAAATTATCATAAAACATTTTAGGACATAATGCAAAATGTCATAAAACATTTCCTGACGTTCAACTGCTGATGTTTGATTGTGCAATACCATTTTACATGGGCTATTTTCAAGAAAGAGACATCTCTGAATATCTTCCTGAACTTTTAAGAACTTTTCCAGCGAAGGTAGTCTATCATTACTGAAGACTTTGAGAAATCTGGTAAGGAAATATCTCTGAAATGATGATTGAAGGGGTTGTCTTTAACTTTAATGTTTTTAACTGCCGAGACATTTGCTATTACAGGTCAAAGATAAAGAACAATATTGGGCAATTTCAGTCAAACTTTTTAGTGGGACAATTGTGGACCAACATCCTTGAGTTCTGTACAAATACTTGTAAACAGAATCACAAGCAAGAATGGCAACAAATGTAGTATTTAATACTTTGGTATGATGGATTCACCATAGATAAAGCAGACAGATAAGATTTTTAAACAGAGAAATGACAGAGATATGTAACGTTCTGCAGTATCCAATTAATAACTATGGCAGTCCTCAAAGTTGTTCATGCCTAGTAGCATTACATTTTACCTGGTGAAACTTCTCTTGGATACCTGGTAATTGAACAACCAGGTTGGTCCATCTCTGCTCATACTCTGCCAAAGCTGAGCGCAATTTTGCATCATCAGATTCCTTAGTAAGCAACAGCTGATTTCCGGTACTTATGACAGAAGATTTCAAGGAAGATTTATTATCAACTTCTTTAGAGAATTCCTGAAGACACATACAAAATAAAAAAATATGGTATGCATGAAAATGTTGCATTAAAAAAGCTTGCTAATTATATTACATTATGAAACCATTTTAAACTGAGATAAAATATTGTTCTCCCCCCTTCCACTTTTTAAAGAATAAGCCAAACACTAGTTATGTGTTCTGGATAGAGCTGGGAATAGACTGAGGAGGCCAAAGTCCAAACCTTTACTCAACATTATTTACTCATTATATTTTACACTTTAGGGCACCCAAAAAGCAGTGCTGAAGGTTTAGATGGAAACGCCTAGGTCAATTAGACCCAGGTTCAAACTTTCTATATTGACATTTTCCATTTACATATTATATTTTTGTCTGCCCTCTGGACAGATAGAGACCAAATGGATACGAGATGAGAAAGTCAAAGATAATTGCAAGAACGAGGGCTAAAAGATTAAAATGTAACAGCTATGAAATAGGAGAGGAGAAATTGTTCTTTGCAATCTTATATAAAATAACTATTGGTTCTAGCTGTTACCTTCCAACAGTAATAAAATACCTGAATTTTTCCTCCTACTAAATATGGCTAAATTCGACATTATATTTGTCTGTGAAGCATGGCTCAATGCATCTCTCCCAGACTCCATTACCACAGTAAGGGACTATCATGTTTACCGATCAGATCGTGAAATTCATAGAGGAGGTGGTGTTGCTATCTTCTATAAAAAGTCCTTACATCTAAAAAATATCCAAGTTACCCAGGAGCTTGCTCTTCCTGAGACCATCATCTGTGAACTATCCTTAAATATCACAATTCGATTCTTACTATGTTACAGAGCACCTGATTATGACATCGAACATGTAAACAAGCTAAATACATTACTAACATGGGGTGCATCCTGCCCATACCCTTTTATCTTTCTTGGTGATTTCAATCTACCTCATATTGACTGGACCCTAAATGAATGTACAACTGAAATCATACACACAACTTTCTACAATGCTATTACAAATCTGGGACTGGAACAACTAGTAACCAACAACACTAGACTAAACAACTGCCTCGATCTCATCTTCTGCAATAGTTTGAATTTAATTTACGGAATACAAACTAAAGAACCCTTTTCCAGCAGTGACCACAATATGATTGACTTTTGTCTCAACATACACCCACACAAAAATCACCACAATGATGTAATCCCCAATTGTAACTTCAAAAAAGGCAACTATGATCTTATAGACAACGATCTCTCATCCCTTGATTGGCAATCTCTATTCACTGGATGCAATACTGTTGAATACCATTACAACATATTTTTACTTGATGTCAAAAGAGTCATCAAACTATATGTACCAACAACAACTCCCAAAACAAAACAAAAAAGCAGATTACCCATAACAATAAGGAAACTTCAATCCAAAAAGAGATCACTCTGGCGGAAAAACAAATCTGGTCACGTTGCCAATTTCAAAAGCCGATACAAAAATTTATGCCACCAGATAAAGACCGAATGCACCAATTATCACATTAAACAAGAGGAAAACCTTCTAAGCACCAATTCCACCCGTGCTTTTTACAATTTTGTAAACAACAAACTAAAAGACTCAAGGTC